ATGTCTCCCCTTCCCTTACTCTCTCCCGGTATTTCCCACCCATCCCTGCCCACAGGCTGTACAGTTCATTTTCAGCAGTGTCTAGTGAGTCCCATTGCTGCATTTGTTCACCCCTCCTCACCCTCCCAACAGATAAACAAACAAGACAAAAAGAAAACCAACAAAAACAACAGCTCTTGTTTCCATTTCCTGGATTCATTTCGATAAGTCTTATTTATAGGCATCGCACCTTTGTGTTCGTCTCCTAGGAGTATCTTCTTGTGTGAAGACTGAGAGTCTTCTGGGGATTTTTATTCATTGCTGCTTTTCTTTGATTTTGATTGCCTTCTTCAGTATCCTTCAGTACCCTTTGTAGCCCTGGCTTAGTTTTCATGAATTCCCTTAGTTTTGTTTACCAAGGAAGGTTTTAGTTTAACCATCAATTGTGACTGTTTAGTTTTGCTGGGTATCCTAGTTTAGGTTGGCAGTTCTTGTTCGGAGCTTGAATTGTACCAATCCAGACTCTCCTTGCATTGAGAATTTTATGGGAAAATCTGCAGTTATTCTAATCTTCTTTCCATTTTAATAAAGTTCCCTCTTTGATTTTGCTGCCTTTACAATTCATACCTTGTTTCTTTTTTTGTTTTTTTATTAATAAGTTTTTTATTGTGAAAATACTGTACAGAGGGGTTATAATTACATGAGCAAAGTAATGAGTACATTTCCTATCAAGCATCGTTGCCTCCTCCTTTGTTTTTCCCTTACCATCCCTGCCCTCCCATCTCCAGGAATACACTCCCCCCCCAAAAAAAAAGTTGTAAAGTTCATTTTTTGACATAGCATCTTGTACATCTCACTATTGCAATGGGTCCACCTGTAACCCTATTTAAACAATTTGTTTTTTCTTTTCTCCTCCCCAAATTATACCGACATCATTCCTTGTTTCTTAAGTCCAGAGTTTTCACAAATGATGTGTCTAGGAGTGTGTCTTCTCTGGTCTTGCCGCTTGGAGTTCTGTACCCCTTTATCAGATGGGTCAGGTTCTCCTTCAGATTGAGGGAATTTGATGGTATTATCTTGTTGAATACATTTGCAACACCTTTAATTTTCAATTCTTCTCCCTCATCTATTCTGATTATATGAAGATTTGATCTGGCCAAATCCAGTAGTTCTTGAATAGCCTTTTGATATGTTCTGAGTAGCCTGTTTGCCCTAACTTCTCTGCTTTCTCTTCAACTCCTGATATCCTGTTTTCCACTCCCTTTGTTCTATTTCCTTTGCTTTCAGTTTGTGCCTAAAATAGGGAGCTTCCCAGCCTCTTACTGCTGTAATCATGTACATCCTGCATTTTCCTCATTTTGTCTTGCTTTTTGTCCACCTTTTCTTGGAATTCTAGTTGTTCACAGCTCTGTTCTTCCATTTGTGGTTTTATTTTGTTGGCCATTTCTCTCAGCGTGGCGTTAGTGATTCATCTTCCCTCTCCCTGGCATTCTCCTCTGTGCTGCTGGTGGTTTGGGGAGTGGCAAGTTGTCTCCTTCGATCATGGCTTTCGTGATCTTTCACTGTGATGTACACTTCTGGGTCCAGGGCCTGTAAAGACTTCGGTGTGGGACTAGATTTCCATCCTGATTGGGAACGGGGACGTGAGCGCTTCACCACGGTGTTGGCAGGGCTTGGTGCCGCACTCCCCCCAGGGCCCCTGCGGGCCTCCCTCCGGGGAGAAAAGAGTGTGGAGAAGCTGTGCTCACTGCTGTCCCACTGCCCTCAGAGAGCCCTGGGCCACAGATGGTCGGAGCGGCGCCGCGTGCCTCAGGTTCTCTGACATTCGCCAGGCCTCTGAGCCTTCAGGCCTGAATGGTCAGTCTGTACTGCTTTGTCGGGAGATCCTTGGGAGGTCAGTTGCGTGGGCAGAAGGCTGTGTGGGTCAGCTTGCTGTCATACAATGTGCTGTGAGGATCCACACTGCATGGAAACACATACTCTACGAAACCACACACCCTGAGGACACATAAACCATGAGAAAACATCCTGTGAAAACAGGTATGACCTGAGAACACGCATGAGCTGCCAACATACGTGACCTGAGAACACGTGTGAGCTGCCAACATACGTGACCTGAGAACGCATGTGACCTGAGAACATGTATGAGCTGCCAACATACGTGACCTGAGAACGTGCGTGTCCTGAGAACATGCGTGATCTGAGAACATGCATGACCTGAGAACATACATGACCTGAGAACACATGTGACCTGAAAACACACATGACCTGAGAACACACGTGACCTAAGAACACACACTGGAAGACACCAGTCATCAGAAGACATATTGTGACAAGATACATGCTGTGAAGACAAACATCCTATGAAGGTGTGCACAGAAATGACACACAAATAAGAATAAACACGTGATTTTGAACATACTGTGAAATATACATATAATCATATAAAATGATATTTATCAAAATGAACTCCAAGAAATGTAAACATGAGGGTTTTTGGTTTCTTGTGGGTTTTTTTCTCCTTTCTCGCTATTTTTATTATTATTATTTCTGGGCCTTTTGTCCTGTATGTACGTTTATCTGGGGGAGCACAGAAATGGTGGGACAAAAGCCAACAAATGCAGCAGTGATACTCACTAAACACTATGTTGAAAATGAACTGTACAACTGTTTGGGGGTGAGGGGCCAGGAAGGGAAAACTAGGAGAAAATAAGGGAAGAGCTGGCACTGTTCAAAAAGAAATAAACTCATTACCTGACTTACATAATTGGAACCCTGCTGTATATCACCTTTACAATAACAATAAAGATAAATAAATATACTGTTGAGATATACACACATATACACAAACACATACACCATAATGACAGATCCTGAAGTCACACGCTCGATGACTATGTCCATGGTTAGGAGTGACAAACTCTGAGGACACAGGCACTTCGAGATGTATGCTCTGATGACGCATGAATGCTGACTAGAGTTGCACAGGTGCACACTGTAAAGCGAATGCGCTGAGGACACGCACCTGATGATGACTCACACTGCATGAGTTGTGAAGACGCACGCACACTCCTTTAATACAAACACACCACTAGGGCACCCCCAGGGATGCCCATACTGTCGCACACACTGAAGACGCAGCACATGAAGAATTGCAGGATGGGCAGGTGTAGGAGGGATGCAGTCAAGATGCATTCTGTTCAGACCTGACATGTTGAGTTGTAATGCCGTTGTACCACGACTTAAAAAATGAAAATGTCTCTAAAGAAATTTACATCATAATTACTATACTGCTAATTATGTGCCAATGGACACACTGTACTGAGATTTCGCACGTGTGTGTTGGTAGGCCGCGCTGTATCTGAGGAGGACGGCTGCTCAGCCCGCCTGGCCCAGTGACGGGTGGACACGGGAGCGTGGGCCTCGCCCAGCACAGTTCAGTCTTCCCAGCCCCCCTCCCGCCCCTGCCATGCCCAGAGGGTCACAGGTGGTGGTGACAAATCCATTGTGAAGTTCAGATTTGAAACGCATGTTTTCAGAATGTCTCCTCTAAGTGGAAAGCATTCTTCTTCTTTTTTTTGGCAGTCCAAGGGCTTGAACTCAGGACTTGGGCGCTGTCCCTGAGCTTCTTTGCTCAAGGCTAGCGCTCTACCACTTGAGCCACAGCACCATTTCAGCTTTTTCTGTGTATGTGATACTGAGGAATCGAACCCAGGGCTTTGTATCTGCTAGGCGAGCCCTCGGCCACCTTCGCAGCCCAAGTACCCCATTCTCAAAGAACAGAGGGAAAGCTGTGTCCTTCAGCAGAGAACAGAAGTCTGTCTGTCTCCCACTTTAGTGTGTGTGGGGACCCATGTGCTCTCCTGGGCAGGGGAGCCCAGGTGGTCTGGGCCTTGCACTTGGAACTTTCCACATGTAAAAGTTGGTTTGTTTTCCATTTTTTCTTGTGAAAATACAAGCTCTCACTGGAGTCTGTGATATTTAAATGTTTTAAAATGAAAATAGAAAGTGTCTCAAAGTAAAACAGCTGTCAGCACTTTCTTTCACTGACTACAGGATGCTAAATGGTAGTTGGACCATAATTTCTTGCTAATTAACACGTTCCAAATCATCACTTCTGCGGGTGACCTCAACGCGGCCTTGGAACTTGTATGGCCACGTCGTGTTTTGTAACTTCAGGGGAAGGATTGTGTGTGTGTCTGCGGGGTGTGACTTCTCTGTCCCTTTTGATTGACACGTGTTTGGAGACGAAGGTTTAATTAGAGCATCCACATGGCTGCAGTCTTTTATGTTGAGTCTTTTGCCTTCCAAGTTTGGTTTCTCGAGTGCTGGCTGCCTCATTTAGGCATTCACAGGCTTGATTACAGTAATTCCTCTACTCTGCCCTCCTTGAGGCTCTAACCAAGAGAGGGCGGCAGACTGGAGTGCTGCTCCTGCTCTCCAGGAGCACAGCAGCACTTGCCTTTCAAAATGTATTCTCTCTTGATTACGTATTTGTGCTTCATGCCACAGTTAGTGTCAGTCTTGAAATCTGCTTGTGTGTGGCCCTGCAGCTGGCACTGATCACACGGGCGGCGCACGCGCCCCACTCAGGCCCCTCGGCAGCGTGCTCCGCTCCTCACCCACCAACGTCCTCCCCGGGACGTGCGTGCTCCAGCCCCTCCCACGGCGTCTGTGAGCCCCTGAAGGGTCCTGGGGCCTCTCGCTCCACGCTGCACCCGGGACAGTGAGTCTGCACCAGGCCAACCACAGGCGTGCCTCGCCAGCTCCCTCCAAAGGCCTGGCTGCACTGCCTCTCAGGAAAAGGGCAAGAATGGGCCAGGCTGGAGAGCCCCTCCCGGGAGGAGAGGCAGACCCCAGGCCATCTGCATCGATGTCTCTGCATGGGAGCTGTCATGGCATGGCTCCCGCGGCTGTCTTAGGCCAGAGGTTCGAGAGCCCCTTGGTGACGGTTTGGCCATGCCAAAGCCGGGCCGGGCGGGCGGAGGGCGCACCGCTGAGCTCTCTCCTTTCTCTTCCAGCGGCCACCTATGCCAACTACAAGAAGACGCCCCCGCCAGTGCCCCCTCGGACCGTCTCGAAGCCTCTGATCTCAGTGACGGCCCAGAGCAGCACGGAGTCCACGCAGGACGCCTACCAGGCTCAGAGGATGTCCCCGTGGCCCCAGGACACCCGCGGCTTGTACAACTCCACAGACAGTTTGGACAGCAACAAGGCCATGAGCCTGGCTCTGGAGACGGCCGCCGCACAGCGCCACGCGGCCGACAGCCAGAGCGGCCCCATCCGGACCAGCGACAAGGCCATCCTGGTGTCCAAGGCCGAGGAGCTGCTCAAGAGCCGCTGCTCCTCCATCGGAGTGCAGGTAGCCCCCTCTGCTGCCGCCGGCTGCCACACCGAGTGAATCAGAGCTCGAGCCGCAGCCCTGGGGAGCCGCAGAGCCCACCGCAGGCCCAGCGTGCTGCGTGCACGCCCCTGCCAGCTGCACCCCGAGGCCCCGGCGGGGGCGGCCTGGCTCACACCCGCGACGCCCTTGGGACTGGTGCCCTATGGGGGAGGGGGCACACCGCGAGTGGGTTGTGTGGGTTGTTTTAGCTCTTCGGTTCCTAAAGGGTCCCGGGGGTGGTGAGGACGGGCTGAGGCGGGCACCGCCGGGCGGGCGTGTGGCCGAGGCCCTGGCCGCGGATGCCGCGAGGTTTTGGACCCCTCTGGGTGACTGGCCCGGCTAGGCCCGGGACGTCTGTGCGTGTGCACACAGCAGTGCCACTCCTTTCTGACACGGCGGCTGCCGGCTCTGGCTCCTTTCTGTTTCCGCGAGCCTGCTTTAAAAGCAAGGAGGTGCTTGAATCCAGAGCCAGGCCCACCGCTGCCACCACCACCGCCGGTGCCACCTGCCCAGCCCAGCGGGGCGGCTTCGCAGAGCCGCCCATCGAGGGAGGCCGTGGCAGGTCGCCGCTTGCTTCCTCCACCCCCCACCAAGCCGCGTGCGGTGGGTGTTAGAGGTCAGACCCGCGGGAGGCCGGCCCCTCACACGGGCCTGGGAGGCCAGTCAGGACAGGCAGCCGTGGGGCACCGGCCCGCTGGCCTGGGGCGGGGCCAGGTCTCCACTGTGGCTTCATTGTTTTGTTTAGGACTCTGAATTCCCAGAGCACCAGCCATACCCAAGGTCAGATGTAAGTACCGACTGTCTCCAAAGCCACGTGCGCATGACGTTCACCCACCCCCTTCTTGGGTTCCTCATCTGACCGCCCTCTCCCCTCTCCGTCCCGTCCCTATGTGCCAGGCTCTCTGCTAGGTGCTCCGTCCTGCTGCACGGACCCTGGGCATCACAGGGTGCAGACCAGCCCCGTGGAGGAGCGCGGGCCGGGCTCACACCACGCAGCCCGGGGCGCCCAGAGCTCTCCTCTCCAAGGAGGGACAGCCTGTGTGTCAGCCTCACCGTCCTTCCCCGCCTCACCTCACGCCTGGGCCCAGCCTGGGAGCTCTGCCCCGGGCGGAGGCCCACGCCTCCTGCGTCTCCCTGTCCTGTCCGTGGACAGCAGCCTCCCACACCACGTGGTGGGCCGCTGCCTCCTCACCCCAGCACCTAGCACAGCCCCTGGCACAGAGCGAGTGCTACCTAAGTGTTGAGTGCGTGAGTAGATGGTTGAGTGCCGGGTGCCTGGTGGAGACTCCTGTGAGCCATGTTTAACAGTGGTTTATTATTTGAGCTCATAACATCACAATTGTCAAAACGAAGTCAGTGGAAAAGCTGAAAAAAAATGTAATCAAGAAGTGTCTGGATTTTAAAAATAGCCAGAGAAATTGGGTGCGACTGGGAGACTTTGTCCTGAAAGAGTAGAGAGCAAAGACTGGGCGCGACCCGGACATTAAGCAGGGCAGACCCCAGTACGAAAGATGGCGTCAGGGCTCCCCAGACAGAGCAGAAGGAAGTGAGTCCGTCTGTGGACAAGTCTCCGTGTCCCACGCGGACGGGTGCCCTTGCTCACGGCAGTCCCGTGTAGTCCTGCGTGCAGTGTCGCTGGTCCCTGTCTGTGTGTGGGCCAGGGGAGGCCGGGGAAGCCGGGGAGGCCGGGGGAGGTCGGGGAGGCCGGAGGAGGCTGGGGAGGCCGGGGAGGCCGGGGAGGCCGGGGGAGGTCGGGGAGGCCGGGGTCAGAGCAGAGGCCGGGGGAGGCCGGAGGAGGCTGGGGAGGCCGGGGAGGCCGGGGAGGCCGGGGGAGGTCGGGGAGGCCGGGGGTCAGAGCAGAGGCCGGGGGAGGCCGGAGGAGGCTGGGGAGGCCGGGGAGGCCGGGGAGGCCGGGGGAGGTCGGGGAGGCCGGAGGAGCAGGGGAGGCCGGGGAGGCCGGGGAGGCCGGGGGAGGTCGGGGAGGCCGGGGGTCAGAGCAGAGGCCGGGGGAGGCCGGAGGAGGCTGGGGAGGCCGGGGAGGCCGGGGCCGCAGCCCCGCCCGCGCCGCCCTGCTCCCTAAAGCTGCAGACCCGTCCTGTGCCCGGCCCGGCCTGGCCCCCTCAGGGCCCGCGGGCATGGAACGCTGGCACGCACCTCTGTCCTGCCGCTGGTGGAGGACAGCTGGCCACGGCCTCTGCGCCTGAGGACGGCCCCGCCCAGCCGAAGCCCCGCCCAGCTGAGGCCCCTGCCCCCCCCCCCGCGTTCCCTGCGACTCCCGGCAGTCATGGCTGGGCAAGGAGGCTGCTCCGGCTGCCAGGCGCCATTTGTGAGTGCAGTGCCAGGCCCCACCCGGCTGGGCGCCCTGCGCGGTGCAGCAGTCACAGGCTAGAGCAGATCTGAGCCCGCTCGGCTCCGTCCAGTGTGGGGCCCGGTGAGGGTCCCAGCCACCCCCTCCCCGCTGTCCGGCCCAGCCCAGCCCGGGGACACAGGCAACTCCTCCGTGCAGGCCGCTGTCCCTGGAGACACGCCGGGGCCAGGGCCGCCTCATCTGCTCCCGCCGCTCGGCCTCCCCACACGCGTGTTTGTTCCCATTGGTGCGTGGTACCTGCTTGCGGGGCAGCCCCGTCGCCACGTGACTGTGTGTGTGAAACTGTACGGACCCTTCAGTGGACGGGGTTCCCGTGAGGCTCTGGGGCCTGCGCTCTCTGTGCAGTGAGCACGGCGGCCACCATCCCGGGCAGGCTGTGAGATGCGATGAGGGTCCCGGGGGGTCGCGTGATGACGTCCTGTGCCAGGCGGACTCCGGCCCCCCAGACACCCGCACCTGCCCCAGGCCCGGCCCGCTGGCCCGCTCTCCGCTCAGGCTCCAACCTCCCAGGGCAAAGGGCCAGCAAATCACACTGCTCGCCAGGCCGTGGACGTGTCCCCGAGGAGGGCAAAGGTTTGGGGTCAGTGCTTGGTCCAGGCTAGTGGGGAGTCCCACGCCAGCCCCAGATTCACCCCTCGGCTCCTGTAGGAACCAGGCTCAGGCGGGACCCCTCTGGGAACCTGGCCCAGGGCTAGACAGCACCGGGGTGCAGGGGTGGCCTGTCCTGCCCCAGCCCAGACCCCACAGGGTGAAGGCGCACACCCAAGACACTCCAGATTCCTTGCTTCTTACACGGACGGAACACAACATCCTCCCGGCCCAGCTCCACGAAGGCCCCGGCACAGCCAGGAAGAGCCGCGCGTGGCCGCCGGCACAGGGCTGCGTCCCCCTCAGCCGCTTGTTTGTGTCCTCCTCCCGTTGATCCGGCCCCTCACACACGGCCCCTGCTTCTCAAAGGGTTCGTTCACAGTGCTCACACGCAGTGAGCTCCTAGAAGTAACTCCTAAAACCCACCTCTGCTGTGGCCAGAATTCCCCCAGGAAGGAAGTTCCTCAGGCTCCATTTCCACTGCACAAAGCTAATTGTTCACCTTGCCCTACATTTGCTTGCTTTTTTGTCTCCTATAAGGCTTCTCTTCTCTGAGAATTTCTGAAACTAACAAATGTTTCGCTCCTTCTGCCACATGGGGATTCGCCTTCCCATATGGAGAATGTCACTGCTTGCTGAAAAGTTACATGTTCAAGCATTTTGGAACTGGCAGCATGTATCAACTGCACTCTCCTTTACATGCATGCGTGTGCCTGCGCTCTCATTTACCACACACACGTGTGCCTGCACCCCCGCCATGCATGCGTGTGCCTGCGCTCTCCTTTACCACACATGCATGTGCCCGCATTCTCATTTACCACACACGCGTGTGCCTGCACTCCCGCCATGCATGTGTGTGCCTGCGCTCTCCTTTACCACACACACGTGTGCCTGCACTCCCGCCATGCATGCGTGTGTGTATGCCTGTGCTCTCACTTACCAGGCGTGTGTGCATGTGAACCTCCCAGAGATGCTCAGAGCATCTCTCTTACTAAAAGGACCATGCGAGTTGAGTTCACCCATGTCTTACAACCAGAGCGATGCAACACAGTCCCCTTTGTGTGGATGGGTCATGCACGAAGATGGATGTGGACATGAGTGTGTTCATAAGCTTGCACTTAAATACAAACATGGCTGTTTTTATAGCCACATCGTAGTAATGACAGAAAACCAGAAATCATCAAATCACCCCTGCACTGACAGCTCTTAATCGTGTGCACTTAGAGCACAAGGTGGCTCCGTGTGTCCTGGCGGGGAATTTTAAATGTTGATTTTTCGTATGAGCTTCTGGTAGGAAGTATGAATAATCTCCGTGTTCTGCAAGATATAAGATGCGAAGGCCAGGGCCCACTTAAAACCACCAAAAATGGTGGCCCCCAACAGGAAGCGAGGAGCGCCACCACAGACTCAGTCCGTCTGCTGGCTGTCGGGCAGGCACCACTGATGACCCCAGCTCCACACATCGTTAGAACTATGCCAGGAGACACAGCGAGGGGCAGGAGCTCTGGGTCCCCCGTAGCCCACTGGGGTGGGTGCAGAGCAGGGCTCTCGAGAGAGAAAACCTGGCAAGAATCCTGGTACAGCCCCAAAAAATCTGTGTGTCCTTGGGAGTGTTCGGCCCTTTTCTGGTGCCCAGGCGGTTAGTGAAGCCAGGCACAGAGGGCTGTGGTATGGTGACCGCAGCCGTGCGTGGGCCACGGAGTCCCTGGACCCTGCCACATAGCCATCCACAGCCGAGGCCACCATGCTGCCCAGCCCCGAGCGAGGGGCTGCCTGCACGCGGCCCCTGTCCACATCGGGAGACGCGCCCACCACGCTGCCCAGCCCCGAGCGAGGGGCTGCCTGCACACGGCCCCTGTCCACATCGGGAGACGCGCCCACCACACTGCCCAGCCCCGAGCGAGGGGCTGCCTGCACGCGGCCCCTGTCCACATCGGGAGACGCGCCCACCACGCACCCACCATCTTTGTGTGGTGCCTTGCAATGAGTGGCATGTTTTTTTCTTTTTTTTTTTTTTTTGGTCATGGGGCTGAACTCTGGGCCTGGGCGCTGTTCCTGCGGTCTTCAGCTCAAGGCGAGCACTCTGCCCCTTGAAGCACCACTTCTGGCTTTCTGAGTGATTTATTGGAAATAAGAGTCTCATGAACTTTCCTTCCCCAGGCTGGCTTTGAACCGCGATCCTCAGATCTCAGCCTCCGAGTAGCTAGGATGACAGGCACAGTGGTGGGAAGGGTGAGTGAGTGCAGAAACACAGAAAAGTAAAAGTAAAAGTGAGCCTCAGTTGTTACGATTTCAGTTTGGAGCCGAAGTCCTGTGGATAGCTTTGGTGAGGTTTTTGTGAATGGAGCAGCTTTGCCGGCCTGATTTCAGAGCCCGGGGCGCTGTTCCATTCTGTTTTGCTTTCTTCTGACACTGTTCTGTGCGAGCACTTCCTTGCGTGGGAGCTTCCCATGAGGTGATCACGAGTGCCTTGGGATGGAGTTGGGGCCTGGGCCGGGACGCCTGGCTTCGTCCTGACCTGCTGCCCACCTGCAAGCGTCCAGCATCTGTGAGAGGCCCGGAGCAGAGCCAGCCTCCGTGTTTCAGTGACTGCTTCTCCCCTCCCCTGTGTCTGTCTGTGGATGCCGCCATCCGTACTTCTGTTTTCTGTTGTCCCTAGCCCTGCCTGGTCCGCCTCCTCCACTGTCAGCGTCCTGTGATAATGCACCCCAACACAGCCAGCTCCTACCTGAGCTGTACGAAAGCAGCTCATTTGCATATATTCAAAAGACTAAAGTCAGTCTTGAGTTCAAGTAGTTCTGTGACTTTTGACAAAACCCAGTCTCGATGTAAGTATACAGCCCGAGAGCATCTCCCCACCATGACCTGGGACAGGTCATCTGCCACTCACCAGACACATGCACAATTACAGCAAAAGAACGAACGAGAGAATGCTCTCTGGTCCATGTCCTCTGTTGTTCTAAACCAACTTTCTGTGTTGAATTAGGTGGAAACGGCCACCGATTCGGACACGGAGAGCCGAGGGCTGCGGGAGTACCACTCGATCGGCGTGCAAGTCGAAGACGAGAAGCGGTAACTCACCCCTTTTGCATGGGCATCGGTCATCGGCGCCTGGGGAGGGATGGTCGTAGACCCACACCCTCCATCTGGACGGCCCAAGTATGACTCGCCTTGCGCGACCGTCTTGTTTTGCACAAAGCCAGGGAATAATTCTCTCGGAAGTAATTTACCACCTGTGAAGTAGCACAGCTCCCAGTCCAAGAAAGCACATCCTCCGGCCAAAGGAGAAAACCGTCTGAGGGCAGAGAAATATGCGCGCCTGCCTTCTAATCTAAGAGTAAAGAGGCAGACAGACACAGAGAGCATGCGGTGGCATCAGCTAGTTCTCGGAGGCGTCTTGCTTCAAAGGCAGTACTCGGAAATGTAAAACATAGACCTCAGTTACAACAGCTGGTTTTCTAATGAGGGCAGAATGGCTATTTTAGCTTGTATTTGAGGACTATGTGCCACTAGCTGCACAAACCAGTGTCACTGAGAGCCCGCATCATGAGTTGCAGTGACCCCAGTGACAGCCCCGAAGGGTTTCAGAGCCCAATCGACAAATTAAATTGCGAGAAAGTCAGCGCGTGAGTGAGCGTCTGCCCTGGTCAGGAGTCAGCGTGTGAGTGAGCGTCTCCCCCGTCGGGGGTCAGCGTGTGAGTTGGCGTCTCCCCCGTCGGGGGTCAGCGTGTGAGTGAGCATCTTCCCCGGTCAGAAGTCAGAGGAACGTGAGTTAGCGTCTCCCCCAGTGGGCCGGGAACCGGGATCGCCTCTGCCCCGGGTTCCTGCCTGGCAGCTGTGCTGCCAAGAAGCACAGAGCCACGAACATGGCTGTGAGCACCTCAGAACTCAGACACACATGACACAGATGTGCGACCTGTGTGTGCCACACAGAAAGACGCCGCAGACACAACATGGCCACGCGCAGCCACACACACACCTGTGTACACACACTCCCGTCCACAGATGTGCCATGCACAGTGACACACACACACACCTGTGTACACACACTCCCCTTCCACAGATGTGCCATGCGCAGTGACACACACACACACCTGTGTACACACACTCCCCTTCCACAGATGTGCCATGCACAGTG